AAAACAAAATTGCCTACAATAAAAAAAAACATATTGAAACAAAACTAAATGAACACAATGACTCGGCTGCAAAACGATGGAAACTTATTAAAGAACTTACAGGGATGATAGTTGAAAATAAAGGCTGTGAAAAACTTATTGTTTCTGGATAACAAATAACTAATAAACAAAAACTTGCTGAGGTGTTTAACAACTACTTTATAAATATAGTCAAGGAAATAATCACACAAAATAATTATCATCCACAACAAAACATAATATATAACTACATACAAAAATCCTCAATGTTTCTCAGACCTACAACTCCTCAAGAAATTAACTCGATCATTCAAGGATTAAAGACGAATGCTGCCCCTGGGCATGATGAAATAAAAGTTTCCCTGATAAGAAAATTGGCCGAGCCATTATCAACAGTGGTATCATCAATAATAAATAAACACTACAAGACTGGAACTTTTCCAGACATTTTAAAAATAGCTAGAGTCACACCTATTTTTAAAAAGGGCCAAACGACGGACGTAAACAATTATAGGCCAATCTCTGTCCTATCAGTCTTCTCAAAAATATTTGAAACAACACTGAACAAACGACTCCTGCAGTTCTTACAAGAAAGCAACTTCATCTGTGAACAGCAACATGGTTTTCGTAGCAAGAAAAGCACCCTTACTGCTATAACAAACTTAATGGAAGACATATTTTTAAGTATTGATCAAAAGAAAACAACAATGATTATGTTTCTTGACCTATGCAAAGCCTTCGACGTTGTAGATCATGAAATACTTCTTAGGAAACTACTATCAATTGGTATTCAGAATCAAGCTTTTAAAATATTTACTAGCTATCTCCAAAATAGGAAACAATTTACCCAGATCTGTGATAAGAAAAGTGAAGGATCGGTGCTTGGCCCTTTACTTTTCTCAATATATATAAATGATATAACTAACTGTGATATAAAAGGCTCTATGACACTATTCGCTGACGACACTGCACTATTCTATACTGGTAATGAAAGGGAAATTTTCGAAGATGCTCAAAGAGACCTTATTAAAATCTGTGATTGGACTAGTCAAAATAATATTAAGTTAAATGAAAATAAGTGCAATTATATAGTTTTTAAGAATACACACTCTTCACCAATAAGCCTAAGGATAAACAATACGCCAATAAGTGAAGTAAAACATGCTAATTACCTCGGACTCACTATAGACAATAAACTAAATTTTGAACAACACATACGTGAAGTTAAAAAAACCATCAACAATATGTGCTACTTTTTACGCAGAAATGTATTCCTAATGAATCAAAAAACCAAATTCCAGATCTACTATGCATATATTCATTCACACTTAACTTACCTCCCATGCATTTGGGGACAGGCCAGAAAATGTGATATTAAGGATTTACAAATTTGTCAAAACAAATCATTAAAAATAATATTTAATAAACCACCTATGGCAAACACAATAGAAATGTACAAAGAACTTAGAATACTTCAGATTCAGGAAATCATTAATCTAGACTCCATGATATTAGTGTACAAAATAAAAAACAATATTTTAATTACCAAAATTAAGCTGCAATTAAACTGTGATTTACACGAACACAATACGAGGACCAGACAACATTTCCATGTGGTACCAAATTCTTCAAATGTGGGAAACAAGAAGATCTCCTCTCAGGCTGTGATATTGTTTAACCAACTACCAGAAAATATTAAAATGCTTACATCCTTAACCCTCCGTTACTCGCGCCAGTTTTCGTAACATCGATACTCGCGTGGCGTCTGAGAGACTCTTGCGTTATAAAATAATTATTAGAAGGTTATTGTATTTTATATTAATGAAATCATCAAGACTATTTCTTTCAAACATTTATTTATTACTAAAAATGCAAATGGCCTACTTCCAGGAACTGCCAAGTTATAATTTTGATTTTAATGCTCCGATCTTATTTTTATTCTATTTTAGTCGGAAAAAGATACCTCTAAATCTCTACCCAGTACTTGATTCTTAGATCTACGTTGATTGTGAATAAAAATATTGACATGTTAAATTTTTTTGATATAATTTCTGAAAGTAAAGGATACGAAATCCAAAGTTTTAAAAAAGTTATAAAAAATATACAAGATTGCTCATGTTATCATATGATCACCATTTCTGTAACTTCGATTAAAAAGGTAAAGGCGAATTATTCTTTAATAGTATAATATCAAAATGAGCAAATAAGGGAAGAACCTTCACTTTCGAACGTTAGCGAAGCACAGAGGAGCGGATAATTCTGTTGTTGGTTCGGCATTATTTAATTTTAATTTTTAGTTTTACATTTAGTGATTAAAAACAACAATTTTTCTGCAGCTTTGGCTGCATATTGTATGATGTTTTGAGGAATTAAGTTTGCAGGCATTATAAGCGCGGCATTATGATAATGCCCGGCTATAACGCATTGCAATTGTTATAGATATGTTTAGATACTTATTTAATTTGCAAGGTGTTATGGATCAATAAGATAAGTAGAAAATAAAGTATTAAAATAAATATAGAGGTGAAGATCGCCAATAACAATTAAACGAGGCCTAACGGGTTCCTCGCGGGAATTATATTTATTTGTTCCACTTTTCTCTTGAGATTAATTCATGGATGATACTATAGTGTATCCTTTACCAGAGTATGGTCATTTTTTAAACACGCATATACTGTTCCCAGAGTTATGTATTTTAAATAGTGAGGAAAGCTTAAGAGCTTAATGTGGTCTGATGGGGTAGATCTCTTGAAGGCGGAGTTAGTAAACCTCCCTGCTAAAGTGACCACAGTAAAAAGTAGTTTCTACATCTTTTACGGGTCTTTGTCTCTGAATACGGGGAAAGGGAATGATTGAGCCTGGAGGTTGTAGAGAGTTAGTCACTTATATACAGAAAATATTCTAATAGACCCCCCTGCACCAAAATGTATTTTTTTTATAAAAATGACTTCCTCCTTGATCTAAATTGAGGTGGACAAAAACGAGGTAAAGTTAAAGATGCCGCTTAAGGAGTTAGGTTAGGGAGAATAACAGTTCATGTTATGTAGAGCATATTAAAATCATTAAAAAAAATTTATCCTGAATGGTAGAGGTCACTGCGGTCAGACGGTGCAGGTATAACACTATAAAGGACACAAAATATTGGCACCTTCATTATACATTTTTATAAGGTGTTTTGAAGCATAAGAGGCCGATTCCATTTCAAATCAGGCAGCAAAAAAAGTGACTGTCTCAGATTGCTCTTTGGTTAAAATATATTGTTTTTTTACTTAAATCTAAGGTATACGTATTTTTTCTTTCGTCGATAAAGTCATTTTTCGCGGAGTTATGAGCATTTGCGATGTTATAAGCTGTAAAGCGAAGGTGCTGAATTTTCGCTGTATATTTTTTTAAAACTCAATTTTTCTGACAAATCTTCATAGGAGCCTATTGTACTTCGACATAAGGGACAAGTATGAACCAAAAGATATAATAGACTATGAGATATGACTAAAAGGTTAGGATAAACAAAATGGCGGTCCATTTTTCAAAAAATACAAAAACTTGAATATCTCAAATATATCATTATTTTTTTTCACAAAAATTTAAAGGTAGATTCTTTGAAACATAGCAGTCAAAATACAATTTGTCCGATAGCGGCTAAAAAGCTGTAGGAAACAGTATTTTGTTTTTAATTAGCGAAATATTGAATCTTTATTTAACATTGCATACATTACTACATTAAAGTGTTTTTTGATATATACATGCTTACTTATGTTTGGGGGTATATATTTTTGATGTGCAGGTTAAAAAATAATTTTAATTTTTAGTTTATTTATAACATAATCTCGATAAAATGTATGCAGCTGCAATAAAAGCTATTAAGCAGTCTGTAAATAACATAAACGATTAATATATGATTGGTTCAATTATTTGTTAAAATTATATGACATTTGACATCTGTCAGTTTAACTCTAATTTCATCTTATTTGCTAAAAATAATGCAATTTATGTATTTTTAGTATCATAAATTAAGACTTTTATACACAAAAAATACTTATATTGCAATATTTTCAGAAAATAAAATTAAATAAGCGTTAAAATGACGGATGAAAAAACCCAATTATTTGTAACAAATCTCAAATTGGCCGTTTTTGATTTAAATGATACATATAATTAATATGATATTAAGTGTATATTTAATAAACTGTATTGAAAACGGCTGTAAATTCTTTAAAGCAGAAGGCGCTGATTTCTTATTTAATTACCTTAGTAACAAATGTTACTACGCTCTGACAAGTCAACTTTTTGTGTATTTCATACAATATTGTGATACAGTTTATTAATAATAATCTAGATTAGAGTATACTATATAGTTTTGTCGACCACTGTTTGCTGTTATTTTGCAACAAATATTATTTGGTAAGTATAATAGAATATATTATACGGATATGAACGAATATTTTTTGAAAATATGTTATGGAATGACTCATAATGATTTTAGATAATTATTCAATGATGGATGATTCGCAGCCACAATCGTTTCCTGTGACCAGGTACAAATGTCCAGACTTTAATAAAGCACACAAAAAGGCCATCTACAAAGGCAGAAATAATAAGTTTTTTTCAGTTGGGGGCATTGACAAGTTTGCTACAAACGCATTTTCCACGTAGTAAAATAAACGCTGACACCTTAGTTTGTAAAAATTGTTATAACCGCTATAAGAACTACACAGAATTGGGGTCTCAAGAAGCTGATATGGATTTAGAGACATACCCTTCTGTTTCATACAACTCTCCAAATAATTCTGCAGAAGAAAAGCCATTGCTACTATATGAATACACACATAAAATTTCAAAAGTTATTGGTTCTGTGCGGTTCTCAAATCCATCTGATGTAGAAGCTAACAGTTAAAATACTTATGTGGAAAGAAAAAGAAGACAGGTTGTGGACTTATTCGAGCAGGAAACTACTAACAAGCTGTCAAAAATTTATTGTTTCAATGGCGAAAAGTGCATGCACTCCTTGCAGTGAATGGGTTAATAACATTGAAATAGCTCTTAAAAATTGCCAAACAAAATCAGAAAAAATTCGTTTACTCACTGTTCTGCCACAGAGTTTCACAAAGACTCAAATACAATCTTTATTCCCGGAAGCTTCGAAGTACATGATTGATGAAGCTAGAAAATTGAGAGATACAAGAGGTATGTACCACTTACCAGATCCATACAATGGTCATCCGTTAAAAGAGACTGCAAAGCAAAAGGCACTTGAACTCTATCTAAACGACGATCTTGATTGTTCGCGACAAAGTCCTAACAAAAATGATGTAAAATCAGTTATTGAAAATGAAGTAAAGGTAAAAAAGGTGAAGCGATTTATGACACGAAGCGTTAATAAAGCATACAAAGTCTTACTAAATATGTACCCCGATATTAAAATAAGCCAATCAAAATTTTATTCTCTACGCCCTTCTTGGGTATTAATTGATTTGCCCCAAAATGTGTGTTTATGCGTGTACTGCGCCAACTTCGAACTTTGTTTAAATTCTCTCATTGGTGTAAGAAATTCCTCTAATTTTGATAAAAATGCATTGAGCAATGAAATTTTCTCAAAATTTATATGTGCGACATCCACAGATAAATGTTATTTACAAGAATGCAAAAAATGTCCTAACCCTGAAAGCATTACTCCAGAATCACTGCGAATTCCTGAAGAAATAATTAATGGGGAAATAACTTTTGCATTGTGGAATAATGGAGAGTTAGAAAAACGAACCACGTCTTGTTCAGCGTTTGTTAAAGAATTTTTAAAATGGTCTGGTAAAGCAATTACGCATATGTATGTCAAAAATATACAACGCGAAGAAATTAAAAAAGCTAAAGAAGCAGCTAAACTTAATAGTACTCATTTAATTTTACATGGTGACTTTGCAGAGAATTGGAAAATTATTATGAAAAATGAAATTCAAAGTGCTTACTGGAAAACAAAAGCAGTATCAATATTTACGGCCGTTTGTTATTGTGGAAATGAAGTTCGAAGTTTTGCAGTCGCAAGTAATGATAAGTCCCACGATTCAGCCCATGCTTTACTTGCAATGAATCTAATAGTAGAAAACTTGAAACAACAGTCAGAATTTAATAATATAACAGACCTGACTGTTATAAGTGATGGAGCAGCAGCTCACTTTAAGAATCGAAATCAATTTTATGAGTTACCCAATTCACCCTATAACAAGAAATGGTTGTTTTCTGCTACTGGGCATGGAAAAGGAGCCTGCGACGGAATTGGTGGCCTCGTAAAACATTTTGCGACTGTTCATAATTTACAAAAGTCGCAACTAGAATCAATAGATAACTCCGAAAGTTTTGTTACAAAAGTAAAAACCTACACTTCTGCCATTACGCTGCTATTGATTAGTGATGATGATTTAAATAATTTTCGGAAAATAAAACTGGAAGAATGGAAAAAATCTAAAAATATCAAAGGCATTCAATCGTCACACGCTTGGAAAGTAGAAAGGAACCAAAATGGTGATCAGCTTTATATGGCCCGAACGGCTATCCACACCTATAAGAAAATTTAATAAAACTATAGTTCCATCCTGCACATACCCCTAACGTAATTAAGCATGTACATATCAAAAAACACTTTAATAAAGTAATGTATGCAATGTTAAATAAAGGTTCAATATTTCGCTAATTAAAAACAAAATACTGTTTCCTACAGCTTTTTAGCCGCTATGGGACAAATTGTATTTTGACTGTTATGTTTCAAAGAATCTACCTTTAAATTTTTGTGAAAAAAAATAATGATATATTTGAAATATTCAAGTTTTTGTATTTTTAGTCATATCTCATAGTCTATTATCTCTTTTGGTTCATACTTGTCCCTTATGTCGAAGTACAATAGGCTCCTATGAAGAGTTGTCAGAAAAATTGAGTTTTAAAAAAAATATACAGAGAAAATTCAGCACCTTCGTTTTACAGCTTATAACATCGCAAATGCTCATAACTCCGCGAAAAAGGACTTTATCGACGAAAGAAAAAATACGTATACCTTAGATTTAAGTAAAAAAACAATATATTTTAACCAAATAGCAATTTGAGACAGTCACTTTTTTTGCTGCCTGATTTGAAATGGAATCGGCCAAGAATGTCTGAAGTGTGTATTATAAAATCTCAATTTTTTGAAATAGGGATAGTTTGAAGGGCGTATTTCTTAAACTACTGCATCCACGTTGACGCCCTTTGGCAAACTTGATAAACAAACGTTACGCTACAAAATATCCAAAGAAAAACTATCTGGACTATTTTATTTAAAATTTATGGCAACTCAAGTCAGGGGCGAAGTGTTTATAGGTGGCGACGAAAATTCAACAATACCGCTTACCCAAAATTAATTCCAGCTTACTCTATATATACATACATACTGTATACTGTAAATTTTTACTCACCCATTTTTTTATTAATATCCAATTGCAACTTTAATTCTTCTTGTATATCGGCTTTGTCGTATCTTTCCAATTCTAGTGCAGATTTTAATTGAATGATTTCTCTGGTTTTACTTTCCGGTAATTTAGTTTTAGAATTTGGAGTAAAAATTTCTTGTAGAGGGCTTTGTGGTTCCAATGAATAATTATTAGGCCACAATGCATTATTATCCATTAAATATCTTTCATATTTATAGTTAATGATATTTATAAGTTCATCATATGAAGTAGTGGCATTTACCTTTTCCAAAAAGTTTCTTATGTATATTTGTGTTTTTTTATTTAGTCCTTTACACAATGGAACAGTTAATATATCTCGTCTGTCATAAATACAAGAATAGTGCAATAAAAGAGAGATAAGATATGTGATTTCTATAGTAGTAAGTTGTTGCAAATTTAGGTTTGAAGAAATTTCGTATATGCATTTTGGGTAAAAGGTTGAAATCAAATTAAATAGAAACTTTAGATCATCGCTTTCTGCATTAGATTTTTTTCTGAAAAAAAAAACAAACAAAAATTAACAAATAAATGATAATTAAGAAAAAACTTGTTCAATCAGGTCTTGTATTATTTACAATGTTTTCCTTTAAAAATTATTAGGGTGAACTATCTGTTTGGTAGTGGTAGAGTGTGTGGGCTGGCGATCTAGGAACGCCATTGCATAGCTTTCGATTCTACATCTCTAAAGGGAAGGGGGTTGGCCAATCCGCCCTATTCCGAGTACTGAAGTAAGGACCACTAGACTGGGCCAAAAAAATCGACTATTTTTTTTTGTAAAGTATATCGAAAATATTGTTTGGGGTGACGAAAAAAAATTATGGTGAAAGTTTTTTTCTCAAAACTCCCAAACCATTGAGTTTAACAAAATTGACTTAAGAAGAAAATTGAATGCTCTACAAAAAAGGTTTGATTGGAATTTCCCGTCAGATGAACCGTTTTCTTACAATCATGCCTTAAAAATTGGTATGGTTTTACAATTTGATTTTTAACTTTGGAATTTTGTAATTCATGTAAAAATCAGTACCCCGAAAAAAAAAACGATAAATATTCTTATGGGAAATCAAATCCTCTACAAAAAGTCAAAACTAATTTTAACCTTGAATAACTTTTGATTGAGTGAATTTAGCCAAAAATGTTGAGAGGCTTTTTTTGTAAGGCATTTGATTTCCCATAAGAATATTTATCTGTTTTTTATGGGTACTGATTTTTACATGAATTACAAAATTCCAATTTAAATTTTCAAAATGTAAAACTATACCAAATTTTAAGGCATGATTTTAAGGAAACGGTTCTTCTGACGGAAAATTTTACTTTAACCTTTCTGTAGAGCATTTAATTTTCTTTAAAAAATATTCTTAAGTCAATTTTGTTAAACTCAATGGTTTGGGAGTTCTGAGACAAAAACTTCCTGAGAAAAAATAAATAAAATTGCGATGGTAGACTTCTTAATATTAATATTATGGACTCAAACTTTCACAATAATTTTTTTTTGTCACCCCAAACCATATTTTCGATATACTTTTCAAAAAAAAATAGTTGATTTTTTTGGCCCAGTCTACTGACCACGCTATGGCCGTCTGTTAAAAATTCTATTAAAATTAAAAGGATCTATTTTTTAACTTTATTAAAAAAAAACGATTTAATTTGAAAAACAAAAATTTCTAATTTGTCTTTTTAACTTCTTTCAATCAAACTGGTAAAAATTACTGTTAATACTATAAGATTCATTTTTTTTTGTCAATTATTGTAGATAATACACCAATTATGTACCTACATAAAAAATAAACCTTTTATTTAAAGGGTGTAGGCTGGTTTATCACTAGCTTTTTCTGTCGACAAAATTGTGCAGTTCATTGTGAATTATTTCTGGCTTTACTTCACGACTAGCTAGATGATCAATGGAGAAACCCTCCGCTAAAGGAGCTTCAAGAGAAGCTTCTTCATGTATGCAGTTTCTGCTACACAGCACTTATACCAGAACTATTTTTAAATATTTCGTTGTTCAAGCATTAAACCTTTAATTTCTAACCGCGAGGGTTTGAAACTTAATAAATATATTTTAGTAAACCACTAAAGATTCATGATAATTTGCCAATTTTTGTGATTTTTGTCTGGCTCCTGTGTCTATTCTACTGAATTTAGAAGGTTCATTTTTTTCAGGTATAAAGTACTTATACAATAGAAAACGTAACTATTATTTTAAGTTTCTAGACTATCAATTTCTTTATTAAAAAAATTATTGAAAATTGATAATTCTCAAAATTAGCCAATTTTGCCCTCAGAAATCATTATGTTGAGGAAAAAATAAAAATCTGAAACTTTCAGGAAATGTAGTCCCCACCTTCATCTTTTCAGTCCAGTTAGTCTTGTTTTGTTATTTTTGTTCCTTTAAAAGATATATTAATTTTTTTTAATGCCCGTTTAGTAGCGATATTGTTAGTTTTATTTATAATTAAAAATTTAGATGGCTTTGACTTTGTCAATTCATGTTTGGTAGAGAAATGTCAGAGCTGTCAAAAATATTTCATAAATTTTATTTGTGTGTATTTAAATTGTGATTTCAAAAAGTTTGCAAGTTTGCAAGTGTAATAAATGACTGAGTGTTCGAGATTCATGAATTTAATTGCAATTAAAAATGCAAGAACATATCATAATTTTGTACCTCTTTCTTATAAAAAATATTTAGGTTCTGAGAAGTTTTAAAAAAAATAAAAAAATAAACAAAAACCAAAAAATATTCTAAATAAACCCCTTTATTATAACATGTTTTATTTTATCCAGTTACCTAAAAACTAAAATTTAAAGAAGTATTTACAGATTGTGTAAATTTTTTCCAACACTAACATTTAAAATACATACATTTAACCTTTAACTATTTAGTGCCTTACTAAAGGGATCAAAATAATAGAACAAGACTAACTTGGTTTAAATTGTGAAAGAAATCGACAAAAAACTGCTTAACGCATTTTTTATACGTTTAAATTAACTCTTTATTAATTTCACTTATTATACTTAACGATATAAACCATAAGGATCCTAAATATATTTTTTACATTCTTTTTCTTTAAACACCAATTAGCCAATTAAATACTTCATTATAATGTATATAATATATAATCATATACATACATATATATATATATATATATATATATATGATTTTTCAATACATAAAATATAACATAACTACCAAAAATATCAGAACTCTCAAAAATATTTCATAATTATTATTTGTGGTATTCCTTTGGTGATTTTAAAAAGTTTTATATATAACATAATATTACATATTATGTTATATACAAAATTTACCAAAGAAATACGCACAAATAATATTTATGAAATATTTTTGACAGTTCTGACACTTCTCCACCAAACATGAAAGCCATCTAAATTTTAAATTATAAATAAAACTAAAAATATCGCTACTAAACGGCCATTAAAAAAATTAATATATCTTTTAAAGGAATAAAAATAACAAAACAAGACTAACTGGACTGAAAAGATGAAGGTGGGGACTACATTTCCTGAAAGTTTCAGATTTTTATTTTTTCCTCAACATAATGATTTCTGAGGGCAAAATTGGCTAATTTTGAGAATTATCAATTTTCAATAATTTTTTTAATAAAGAAATTGATAGTCTAGAAACTTAAAATAATAGTTACGTTTTCTATTGTATAAGTACTTTATACCTGAAAATAATGAACCTTCTAAATTCAGTAGAATAGGCACAGGAGCCAGACAAAAATCACAAAAATTGGCAAATTATCATGAATTTTTAGTGGTTTACCATTCTTTTATGAGATTAACTAATTGGATAAAAATAATTTATATCGAAAACACACTTACTGGACAGTATAACAAAATTAAAATTATTTCAATATTTGTCACAGAAAAAAAGTTCTGGCCCACTATAAGAGAGTAAGAAATTGACACTATTTCAGACTTCTAAGGGGTGCCAAATAAAAGTAAAGCAACAAAAAATTAAAACGGCAACGGATTTTCATATTTGACACCTAAAAGATCATCCTCAAATTTTTTCCTCAAAATAAAAAATCACGCAGCGCACCCCATTTGGTGTTTTTATTTGGAATGACTCATTAGCTAAAGACTGGTTAATTTGATTATTTATAGCGCATTATAAATTATTCTAATGCGCATATTAGTTAATCCAATGCTCAAAGTATTTAACCTAATACCCGCTAAAATCTTTCTCTAATAGAATATGTAATATAATGATTCCATATATTATTACTATACTTTCACACAATCAATTATAATACGTTTATTGCAATCATGCACTTCTGACACATGATAAACCACAAAGTATCTCAGGACAAGGAAATTCGCCAAGTAATCAAAGATACTTGCATATATAATAAGCTGTTATTCGTCACACATGCAAAAATTTCTAGCGTCATGTGTAATGTATTGTTATCCAATTACAAGAAACTAAGAAATAATGTTATAGCTGCAAGAAAACAAAATGTTAAGGTACCCTGGAAAATAAAAACTTTGCAGTAGCTTACCGTTGTATTTTTATTTTAAGAACAGTTCTGTTTGTTTTAAATTAATTAGGTACTATTTTAAGAGCATACACAAAAAAATTAATCATTTACGATAAATAACCAACATTTTTCAATGTTTCAGAATAAGATGCTGAACCTTAAGGGTGTGAATCCTTAGTTGATTTTAAGAAAAAAAGTTCAAATAAACCTATGACCTAAACCTCTTAATTTTTATCATAACTTTAATAACTTCCTAGATATTTTTATAAAATTTGGCACGTGTACGCCTTCTAAGCATTAACGGTAAGTTTTTGATGTAGAAGATTTTAGATATTTTTGGAAAAATATTATGCACGCCACTGCTAATTTTTAAAATAAAAATTATTTTTTAAATCCCCATTCATTTTAGAGCAAATTTGATTTCTTGACCATTTTTCGTACGACTAACGGTTTTTGAGGAAAAAAATAAAAAGCATTTAATGCGCATATTGCCATGTGCCTATAATTTCTGAAAAGGAGGCTATAATCTTTGTTGTTAAGGAAACACAGGGCCGGATTTAAACTTTTGCCGCCCTTGGGCACTGAAAAAAATGCCGCCCCATCATATGAAACTTAGAAAGATTGTCGCGACAAACCTTCGTGATCTAAATTCGTACAATCTCTATTGCTATAGCATCTATCTATAGATTTTAATTTTTGTGTAACACGTTCCTTTTTCGTAAAAAAAATCATCTAGTTTGGGAGTTTTACTCAAAACCTCTTGTTCTTTTTTACTTTTGTCCATCTCCCATCAGACTAAAACTGAGTAAATTGAGATAATTGATTTTGGTATTTTAAATTTTAGATTTGTATTTTTTTTATATACAAGGTGTCCCTAAACTTAGTGGCATAAATTTAGGAGTAGATTAAGCAAGTCAAAATAAGACGAAAATCTAAATAAATATTTTTCCTAATTACGTATGTTTAAAAGATACAGGGTGATAAAGTGT